AACCAATGTGGAAAAGTGCTACAACCCCTCAAACAAAGCTGCGCCCATTCCCATTTGGGAAATGTATAACGTGGTCGTTTAAGGCTTGATCAAATGCAGAACGATGCGAAACTGTATGTTCGGCGAAATATGTCGAAAATCGAAGATGCCGTGGCGAGGCTGCTCCAGGTAATATTATTTTCCACAGTGATTTTGGTTTATGCGTTCTTTGCAGTCATCCATTGAAAGAATGGTTCTTTTCCATTCATTCCTTTCATCATTCTTTCCCTTTTTTTCTTCCTGTCACCATGCATTCATTTATTCTTTCTTTCTTTCTTTCTTTTTCTTTGGAAAATTGAGGAAGGCGGTAGGTAGCATGGGGGATGGGAAAGGCTTTCTTTGGGAAATTGAGGAAGACGGTAGGTAGCATGGGGGATGGGAAACGGGGTCGTGTAAGTGGAATGGGTGATAGGGAGTCGTACCGGAGGGGAATATCTTGAGGGGAGCATATTATGCAAAGACTTACCTCAATGGGAGGGCGTTTCCTTAACAGAAATAAAAAAGGACGGATAAAAGTTTATTGCCTTTTTCCTGAAACTACTGTTTTATAGTTAAGTGTTTGACTCATTTCAGAAGCCCACTGTTTTACAACGAAATATGCGCAGATTCGAACAATGGATGGATGAGAGGGGGATGTATTCACCTCGCTGAATATTGTAAAATACTTGTAATTAGTATGTATAAATGTATATAGTGTAAAGGTTGGTAATACGGTAGTTCAGATGCAGTGATTTCTCTCTCTCTACTTATGCTGGTTTTTCTTCATTCTTTCTGAAAATTTTCTGTGAATAGTAGTTCCACATTTCCGAAGAAAATCATAGGTGTTAAGTGCAGCGAAGGCCAAGAGTTGTTTTCCCCAGAGCTTTTTGCTGGCAGTTCGGCGACGGAGGGGCATTTTGCACATTTGCTGCTTCCTATCATGTCAACCCATCTAGAGAGCCATTCCGTGAGTGCACAAGGGTTGACAGGTTCTACCTGGCCCGATGAGCCTGCTTTAGCTTCACAAGTGTTCGCAGGTTTCGTCGAAGTGAAACATGTAAACCGAATCTAGTGGAGCAGCGACAGTACAAAATGTCCCCCTCCCCCCTTCGTGCCGACTATTTTTTGTAGTTTCACAGTCCAATATTTATTTTTTATAGCCTCGCTTTGGATACCAATGCAATAGTTTTGCCATATTATAGAGTAGACATTCTTTGTGCAGTAACAGCTAGTTAAGTATGACCGGTAAGATGTTGATTTCAACCTGCTCTTCAATGATGAGCTTAGTTCATTTTTACTAGAAGAATGTCTACTCTATAATATGGCAAAACTATTGCATTGGTATCCAAAGCGAGGCTATAAAAAATAAATATTGGACTGTGAAACTACAAAAAATAGTGGGCGTCCGGCGACGAACGAAGTGGGGGGGGGACATTTTGTACTTTCGCTGCTTCACTAGATT